TGAGCAGTGCTACACATCCTCTGGAAAGACGAGATAGAAAACGTTACAAATATATGTTTCGATCCTATCATACCTGAATTCTGATTTGACTGGGTTGGTGTCCTTTTGTTTTAAAAAATGTTACAAACAAACGCGTTGTCAGATATGGACAAAAACAGGAGCCTAACACGACCTTACATATGGTTACAATCAAGTGTCATCCTTTTTAGAATCTCAAACGAGACATCATTGAGTTCACTCGAATCCTCGAGATATTTCAAACAACAAACATCAACATACAACAACCCGCTGGCAAACCACCATCATCATGATGCCTTAGTAAAGGACAGAGTTTTATAAAATTATTCCCGTCCAAGGGTCAAATAGCCGAAAACTGACATTACATTGATCACAGGCAATCAAATAAATACTGGTCGAAGTCTAATAGCGGATATTAGAAGCAATCTTCACGTAGTCAAATCGAGAGCATGTTTGAGACTTGTAAGGCTGGTTTTGTTAGTAAACGGAAGTATTTGAACTCGCTAATAAATAGTGAACATGTCTTCTCTTACTTGGATTCGGTTTACATTGATCTTTGACAACTCGTGCCATCAGCTAGGATGTTCACACACTTAACCAACCGAACACGTGTGAAATGCCTCTAGAGACAGAGAAACAAACAGTTCCAAGTTCAGTTTAAAGGACACAAATTTGATGGTGTTTGTTATCTTACGGAGCGGGATAGTTTAAATTTAATAGGTTTAAACTGAACTGAGAAGATCGATATTCTGAATACTTTATTAAGCAAAAAGGTTCCATATAATTTTGTATAGTGATGATTCTGCATCAAAGTCATCCGTTTCCTCTCACATGCCGATGACACCCCATCATTGTCAAAGCATGTAGCTGTGTTCTAAAACAAACCATACCGCCGTGTTTACCAAAGTATCTTCGTCACTGAAGCAAAACATAAGCCTGCACTTCAACCGAAACGACCTGTGCCCCATTATGTCCTGTCAGTCGTCTGCTAGCATCAGTTTTATAAAGGAAAGATATTTTTCGATGAATGTGATAGACATCTCTTTATATCAGGTCTTGCTAATAACTATCAAGGATAACGCTTATGCTTTCTTGTGGTTGTAGTAATGGAGTGTCACCGGTTTAAGCTAATATTAGGAGGCTTCTTTTGCTTTTCAGAGTATCCACCCATAATCTCCAATGGAAATATAACAATCAACCATGACGGAATTATGATCTGATAAAGAATGGAATTGATCTCGTTCAAACTTCCTGGGTTGTTAGTTATACTAAAGTTAGATGAACAATGATAGTATCTGCCTTTTATTTTGAGACACAGGCAAAAACACCAATCCTAGTTGAAAGGGTTCAAATGCAATATCCTGAACTATTCTGAAGGTTAAATAAAACTACTTGTATGGTTAGTTCATTCTATATAAAAACTACATAATATCGCACATGTATTACTACAATCCACCTATAATATATAACACATAAGTTTTGGGCTTCTATCAATGAATAGTGATGTAAAGTACAACATGAGACATTTAGAAAGTCATAGAAAAGCAATGAATAAGTAGAATAACATTTTTGTGCTGTTACTAATAAAGAGAAACAATTTTCTAATAATGGTGAAGAGCCATTTATCGAGCGAATTCAAAAATCATAGAAAATGTTTTTTAAAAGAAATTTAATCAGAAGGGGTTTTGTGGAGATTTCAGTATTTTTCATAGTTGAAATCATGAGGTCAATTGAAGCTAGACCACTATCGAAAAACCTGGAAGCACTGAACAGTCGTTTCGTTCTATTATGAAACTCCTCGGCAGTGTGCATCCACGATTCCGCCTCGAGATTCGAACCCAGGACCTACCAGTCTCGTGCCAGAGCACTTAACCGATAAACCACTGAACCGACATCCAACGATGTTAATGTCTAACTTCAACCACTCCACAAAGTTTGAGAAACCGTTCACCGATTGTCTTCAGTGAGTTGTTATCTCACAACAGATCTGGTTGAACTCTACTAGTCACTGCTTCTCACTAGAACTCCAGGACCCATAATAGGACGAAACAGCTGTCCAGTGCTTCCAGGTTTTCCATGGTGGTCTAGTTTCAATTAACTCATGATTTCAACTATGAAAGAAACTTAACACTCTTCCCATTACACAATCAATAATTATGTGACAGTAACACATATTTTTTGCTTTAATACTACTGTATAACCTAATGTCACTCGTACACTCGTAGTCCATGTAATCGACAAACAATACAGTGAAGCTCCGAACATGAATACCATTTCTTGTATAGATTATGAAATCATAGTTGTAACATAAATGATTTCAATATCAACGCATTGAATCCTGGTCATTTTTCATTATATCTATCAATTCAATCGAATTGAATTCTACAGATAACATTGAAATATAATCACTAGTTTTAGTGACATGAAATAAATAGCTTCCTGCTGACTGTGTCCAACCGCCTTAGATTAACAATGGAGTACTACTTTTTTGAATCATTAGCCATTACATCATACATCGATAAATACGATTTGATCAGTATTGAAAGTTAGACAATATAGTAATGGTTGAAGTTAGACATCAACACCATGGATGCCGACTCAGTGGTCTATCGGTTAAGTGCTCTGGCTCAAGGCTGGTAGGTCCTAGGTTCAAGTCATGCGAGTGCGGGATCGTGGATGCGCACTGCTGAGGAGTCCCATAATAGGACGAATCGGCCGTCTAGTGCTTCCTGGTTTCCCATAACGGTCTAGCTTCAATTGACTCATGATTTCAATTATGAAAATATAGAAATGGTTAGTATTAGGTGATTAATCAATAAAATCCAGAAATCGATAGTTTTTGACGAAGATAACTAGTAATGAAACAGTAACAGCAAACATCTTGTGATAATTAGGAGTATCTGAATTATAGTATAAACTAGGAACCCCAGACATAACACAATTTAATCAAGAAGTAGTTGATAAACACCATTGAATGCGTTGTGTTTGGAATTCAAAATCAAGAAGTTATCAAGTACAAAGGAATCATAGGTTCATATAAACATCACATATCTGTCTAGGTGTTTTTTCCAGTCATTAATAAGTATTATTTATTGATTGATGTCTAACTTCAACCAATCCACGAAATTGAGCAACAAGTCACCATTGTCTTCAGTGAGTTGATATCTCACAACAGATGTGGTTGAACTCCACTAGTCACTGCTTCTCACTAGAACTCCAGGAAATACCTAATGGAGCCACAATAGGGCTAAACGGCCGTCCAGTGCTTCCAGCTTTTCCATGGTGGTCTAATTTCAATTGACTTGTGATCTCATCTCTATAAACTTACTAAAATCTCCACAAAACCCCCTTCTGATTGAAATTATCGTTTACATTATAGAAAGTAAATTTCATACCATGTGAGTATTATCTTGTGAAATATGTAGTCTTATTAGTAAAGATTGATAACCATTAGTAAATAAGTAAATGAATGACTACAGTTTGTTAAAAGTTACAAAATCATTATCGAAATTCACTTAGTATTGTTTATTTGAATCTTCCCATTGATGTTCAGTGGCCATCAGGACCCATTGGCCGAGTGAATAACACGATGGCGTTTGAAGCGAAAGGTACTGGGTTCGAGATCCAGAGTGAACATCAACTCAGAGATGCAGGTACATGCAGCTGAAGAGTCCCAAATGGGATGAAACGCGCGTCTTGGATTCAGATGCCAGCCACTATCCATCTTTGCTTACATTATCGAAATTATTCAGAATATTTAAAAGTTGAATTCATGAGTTGATTAGAACTAGACCATCATGAAAAACCTGGAAGTACTGGACGTCTGTTTAAATCATGTCTGTAGAGGTAGTTACTGACTGAAGGCAATGGTGGACAGTTGCACAATATCATGGATTGATTGAAATTGAACAGTAACATCAGTTCAGTGGTCTAGAGCTTAGGCGTTCATGCGTGAAACTGATAGGTCTTGGGTTCGAATCCTGTAGGGCGGAATCGTGGATGCGCACTGCTGATAAGTCCCATACTAAGACTAAATGGTCCTCTACTGCTTCATTATTTTCAATGTTGGTCTAACATCCATTCATTCATCATATCAGTTTAAACTCAACAATCTCCTCAACTCTATACTGATAATATTCATCATGTATTCAATAGTGACTGGCTTCAAGATAGATTTGCTGAAGTTGTAATGAGAATCTGTAACCAATTGAGTTTAACTGTGTCTTTTGTGAGGCAGTTGCCAACTGAAGGCAATGATAGAAGGACGCGAATTATGATAGATTGTTATAAATTGGACATTAACACCATTGAATGTGTTCTTAGTAGTATAGAAGTTAAGCGTTCATGCACGAGATCAACCACTAGTCACATCCTAAGATAAAATTATCCTACACTGTTTCTAGATTTTCAATAATAATCTAGTTTATATCAACTCATGAATTGAATCATTCAAATCACTACAACCTCCACAAAACTTCATTCTGATCATATTCAAAATATGATATCCATTTTTTTTTCCAGATAAAACAAAACTTAACCAACTGTTACTAGGTATTAAATTACATATGAACCATTTGGTTTTTTTTCCATAATTTCAATTTACAAACAAACAAACAAACAAACAAAAATCATATTCGTTAGTTTTATAATCTGGACAAGAAAAGGTAAAACTAAAAAAAACTCTCGCCCCTCCCCCCCCCTCCACACTCATTATATCTAAAATATTCTCACCATTGTAACTATACATAGAAATTTTTTTAATAAATGAATAATATTTTCATCGATTTATAAAAAATAAATAAAACTTTATAAAGATACATTGTGAAAAATTGGTTAGCAACAATTTTTTTTTGTTTTTTTTTATTTTTTTGTTTTTTTTTTTGAAAAATTTCTTTTTTTTTCTCTTTTTGTTTCAATTACAAAAAAATAATCATAAATAATAATTAGACCAATGAAAATAGTTAGATACAACATTTTTAATTGAATATATAAATAAACCATAAAATTTGTTTCCATATTCATTCATTGATAAGGGTAATTTTAATTTAAAGTTGAAAAAAATAATGTAAGTTGAATTTATAAGTTGATTAAAACTAGACCATCATGAAAGACCTGGAAGTACTGGACGTTTGTTGAAATCAAGTCTGTAGATGCAGTTACTGACTGAAGACAATGATGGACAGTTACACAATATCATGGATTGGTTGAAATTGGACATTAACACCAACTTAGTGGTTTAGAGGTTAATCGTTTGTGTGTGAGACTGATAGGTCTTGGGTTGGAATCTTGAGGGGCAGAATGTTATTGATAAAGTATTGTTCATTAAGTTAGATGGTTAGATCATTATTTCGAATGAAACCATCAGCACAAAGTTGAAGTAGAAGTGAAGTGTTTGAATTTTTTTCTATATATAACTCACACCTTATTTTGTGGATTTTGAAGTTAATAGGTTATTGTTGACTTTTAACCTTGATTATTGGTTAAGCTTTCATGCGCGAAATTGATAGGTTCTAGGTTCAAATCCTACGGGGCGGGATCGTGGATACGGACTGTTGAGGAGTCTTACAATAGGACGAAACGACTGTCCAATGTTTCCTGGTTTTCTATGATACTTGCTTACTTACTTACGCCTGTTACCCCTCGTGAAAGAGCACGGACCCCCTACCAGCATTCTTTATCCATTTCTGTCCTGGGCAATCCCTTCCAGTTCTTTCCTGTTGTTATTCATCCTTTTCATATCTGCTACTATTTCCCGGCGTAATATGTTCTTTGTCCTTCAACTTTTCCGCTTCCCTTCCGGATTCCTTGTTAGGGCTTGCCTCGTGATGCAGTTTGGTGGTTTCCTCAATGTATGTCCTATCGACTTCCACTTCAACTATTAAATTGATGAATTTATGGATCATTTCATAGATGAATGTCTATTCCAAGTAATATTTCATTGTTTGTCTTTCCAGATATTTAGACGTGAAAGAGAAAAAAAGGAGTATGAATTATCTACACTGTTTATACATTTTATTGTTTATAATTAATTTTCCATTATTATCAATTGAAAATCCAATCTTAAATGAAACCATAACAACAGAACTAGTTGACAGGTAAGTCTATGGATGATATTATCCATTTTAACTGATATTGTAATGAGTGTGAACACTACAATGGGGTCAACAGATCAGGATGTCGTTACTTAGTTACTTACTTATGCCTGTTACTCCCGATGGAGCATAGGCCACCGACCAGCTTTCTGCAACGCCGGCGACCATACCACGTTGAAAGCACCGGTTCTCTTCCGATCACCGCAGTTAAGCAACGTTGGGCCCGGTCAGTACATGCATGGGTGACTAGCTGGGAATACCGCGTGTCGCCGGCTTTAAAAAACTCCACCTGTAGCTCCTCCGGGGGCTACTGTCGGTCCCAAACCCGGGTAAAGAAGGAGGGTTGAGCATGGGGTTAGCGACCGCATCTCGTAGAAAACCAACTCGCTAAAAACGCTAACCTGGATGTCATTACCATACGTTTAACACTGCTTTTACAAAATGTTCATCAATTGTCTCATATTTTGTTGTTCCTTCATTTTTATATAACAATTACTTTCTGTTCTCATTCTCTTCTATTTCATCTTCTTAACCTTTTGCTGCAAGACATTCCACTTTTGATTAATGTTATATACTACTTATAACTGTCAAGATAAATAGTACACACCACCATATGACACTAATTTCATCAAGTTCATAAATATACAATCATAATGGTCACCAAGTTAAGTACGATTTATTGAGCATCAACTTCGAATAAACTATCAGTCTAGTTTCATTATGTCATTATGTCATATGAAACTATTGTTTCACCATTCAAGTACACTCTGTTTAGCACTAGATCTTCGAATGTGTAATTTCTGACAGTTACTTTATTTCGATCATAATGTTAGTTGTTAATTGATGTCCATTATCAAAGATTAGGATGCGCTTAACAGTCATCTCTACCTGTTTTCACAATGATTAGGAGTTTTGTTATATACGAACGGAAATAAATGAATGGTGACCGTTAGGAATTACTTATGGACTAATATTATAAGGATATTCTTATTGTATGCCCCTAAATGCCCTGGTACGGCCGAGAGTGGGGAGAGTCAGTTCTCTTTGTCAAAATGCTCTCACATGGCCACGCGTATACAGCCTCTGCCAGAGAAGTCCTAATCACTGCCTTCTCGTAGCATTACTGTTGTTTACGAAATTGAGAAGACGAAAGGCGAATGTCTGGCGCTTTAACCGGGTTCGTGGACACGGCGCGTCCACCTAGGGGAGTTTGAAAACCCTCGTTCCAAACCAATGATGCACATGGGCTCCAGTATCCTGAGGGGACAAATGGCGTATAAATCAATTGTTGGTCACCGTCTACCATGTGACTGCATCTCCTTAAGATGCTCCACAGCCTTGTGGACTAGACCTTCAGGTCAAAGGCTTGGGGTGTGGTCCCCTGAGATAACCACCTGCTTCAGTCTGGGCACCTGGACAGTATCACAGCCCACACACAAGTCAAATGAGATTTGTGCGGCGCATATTTATCTGGTGCTTCCTTGTACCAATATTTATGTGTTTGAATAAAGAAATAAAATTCTTATTGTATGACTGTTAAGTGACTATGTATTATGTGTATACAATCATATTCCATTCATTATAAGCTTTTATTTGACCCATTGACCACTATTATGCGGTTTACTATTCCCAATTTATTAATTACAGTTTTTTTCACAATCACAGCCACTTTTGGGCTCGATCTTGTACAAATGTTATTTTCTATTTTATGATATCATGTGGTCTGTTTGGCTTGTATATAAACCCATTATGTTTACAATATATGATTCATATGATGGAAGCTAAGATCGGCATTCTGAATTCAATGGTCAGGGTTAGGCGTTAGAACGATCAATCATGGTTCTAGGCTGCTCATAAGAATGTATACTTCATTTTTTTTGGTGGTATAAGTCACGATAATTGTATCAACTAAGCACATAACAATTGGTAACCAGGATTTTGAAAAAAAAAGAAACAAATAATACATTTCAGCCACAACATTCAACAGTTGTCTACTGCTCTTTGTCTTGTGGTTGTAGTAATGGAGTGTCACCGGTTTACCCTAATAATAAGGAGGCTTTTTTTGCTTCCTAGAGTATTCACCCATGATCTCTTAATTATGTTATTCATCAATGAAATAAAAATGGATCTGCTAGATTAAAACTTCATTGATCTTGTAGATGGCTTCTAATTTACCGCATATTTTGCCTAATCTTTATTGAACTTAGAGGAAAATATTCAACTGAAGATGAGAATTCAAACGTAACTCCAGCTAATCATCACATAGAAAATTCCACGGAACTTTACAAGTAGGTTTAAAAATATTTTGTTAGTCTAGTAAATTTATAATAAATTGTATTACTATTATGACACCGGAGTTTTCGATGGAGATTCATTCTCTGAGTTGAATAATTTTAGTTGTGAAGCTTTCATCTTTCTTCTGAACGAAATCATCAGCACAAACTTCGGGTAGAAGTGAAGTGTCCACATGTGGTTCACAGCTTGTCCTGTAGATCTCAATGTTGATTGGTCCTTGTTGACCTTTAATTTCTCATTGTTTACCTCATTATTTTGGTTGTATCTCCCATTGGTTTGATTTTTGATCCTATATTTGTCCATAATTTTCCTGATTGGATTTTTTGAAGGAAACTTCCTTCACTTTCTTCTTCTGATGTTTTTCTTTTTCAATACATCTAATAGGCAATATCGTGTTGTTACTCCTAGAGGTAACCCAACTTACCCACATAGTTTGATAGTTCATTTGACTTCTAAACAGGAAGTCCCAAAAAATATATTAATAAATTCATTTCTATGTGCAGACTTAGTTTATCATGACTACTAATTAGTGAGAAGCCATGTACAATGAAACTAATCCAATGGAAGATGGTCGCGCAATCCCATGGATTGGTTGAGATTAGACATTAACACCGTTGGATGCCGGCTCAGTGGTCTAGTGGTTAAGCGTTCGCAATACATGGAGGACAGCTAACAGACTCATTCCAAGTAAGGATCGGTGTCAGACAAGGCTGCTTACTCTCAATCTTTCACTTCCTTCTGGTGGTTAAATTGATTATAAAAACCTCGACATGTGGGAGAAGGAACGGAATACAACGGACAACTTCGATGCAACTAGACGATTTGGACTTCGCAGATAACTCAGTCTTTCTATCCCATACACACCAACAAATGAAGGTTAAGACATCCACTGTAGAAGAAGCCTCTGCATCGACGGACTTCGAAATATACAGAGGGAATAAGTAAGATCCTCAAATACAACATGGAAAACACCAACAAAGTCACACTTCATGATGTAGTTTTGGAAGAGGTAGAGTCTTTCACTTACCTCAGAAGCATCATCAATGAACGAGAAGGGTCTGATGCATATGTTAGAGCAAGAATTGCCAAAACAAGAGAAGCATTCACGCACCTAATGATCATTTGAAACTCAAAACAACTGTCAACCAATATCAAAGTCACAATCTTCAATACGAATGTCAAAGCAATTCTACTGTATGGAACTAAAACTTGGACAACTATCACAATCATCATCGAAAATGTATAAGTATTTATAAACAATTGTCTACACAAGATACTGAATGTCCGTTGTCCAGATTTCATCTAAAACAGTCTACTGTGTCACAAAACAAACGAGCTCCCAACCGAAGAGAAAATTAGAAAAGACGTTGGAAGTGGATAGGACATAAATTACGGAAATAATGAAACTGCATCACAAGACAAGGGCTAACTTGGAATTTCGAAGAGAAACGGAAAAGAGAAAAGCTGAAGAGCACAGTGAGTTGAGAATCGGAAGCAGACATCAAAAATATGACTTGAAAATGGAAACAACTATAGAGGATTGTCCAAGACAGAGTTGGATAAAGATAATGTAATATCACTAACTTTTCAAGAGAATCATTCTTATTAATTAGTAGTAATTATACCGATTACAGACAATTAAATAAACAATAATCCTAATGAATTCACTTGGTATTATCAGAAGGGGATTTTGTGGAGATTTAAGTAATTTTGTGGTTGAATTCGTTAGTCAATTGAAGCTAAACTATCATCGAAAACTTAGAAGCACTGGACGGCCGTTTCGTTCAAGTGTTGGACTCCTCAGCAGTGAGCATCCACGATCCTGCATCCAGAGACTCGAATCCAGGACTTATCAGTCTCGTGCGTAAAGGCTTGACCTGTAGACCACTGAGTCGGCATCCAACGGTGTTAATGTCTAACTTCCGCCAATCCAAGAAATCGGGTCACCGCCCACCATTATCTTCAGTGAGTTACTATCTCGCAACAGATCCGGTTGTACTGCACTGGTCACTGCTTCTCACCAGACTCTTGAAGCCAGTCACTAGTGAGCATATGATTATTATCAGAAGGGGTTTTGTAGAGATTTCAGTAATTTTGTAGTTTGATTCATGAGTCAATTGAAGAGAAGTCCCACAATTGGACGAAACGGCCTTCCGGTGCTTCCAGGTTTTTCATGGTGGTCTAGCTTCAATTGGCTCATGAATTCAACCATAAAAATCACTTGGTATTGTTTACTTGTATCTTCCCAATGATCAGTTGATCAGTCTCCTGTTGACATATGTGCATCCTGTGCGGACCGCCTCGATATTACCTGGATTCACAAGCTTTATAAGAAAAGATGGATAGTGGTTAGCAGTAGAATCCAGGATGCGCTAAGTGGATAACGCGATGGCGTTTGGAACGAAAGGTACTGGGTTCGAGACTCATAGTGAACATCAACTCTGAGATACAGGTATATCTGGCTGACGAGTCCAAAATAAGACGAAATGTGTGCCATGGATTCCACTGCTAGTCACTATCCATCTTTGCTTACCAATCTCTGACAATGTTTAAATGACTTTACAGCTTAAAAACGCGTGTTTCGTCCTATTTGGGACTCGTCAGCTGTATGTGCCTGCATCCCACAGTTGATATTCACTCTAGAACTTAAACCCAATACCTTTCGCTTGTTTGAATCTTCTCATTGATGTTTTAGGATTGCAACTGGCCAGTCTCTAATTGGCATATGTGCATGGGAAGATACAAACAAACAATATTAAGTGAATTGTCAGAGATTGTCTATGAGCTGAAATTATACTAGGTCTACAGTTAAATAAAATGGATATTATATTAATATAATCATTTATATATATCATATACAATATCTGGTTTATAGTTTTGAAGGTCTTGGTTCAACTGAAAGAGAAGAATGGAATTCCACTGTTACAGGGAACTCGTCTGCATTTGGTAGTGTGTAAGTTTAATCAAATTAGTTGAATGTATAATGTGTGTAAGGTGCTTGAAATGAAACTTAATAAGCACAGTTAATACCAAAGCCTTAATATTGAAATGATTATTAACTAATAGGGTACTTTGAGGTCGTATACATCACAGAATAGTTTGATTTAAGATATCATTGAAAACCAGGGAGTAATGGATAACTCTTTGAGAGTGCACACTCGAAACCCATAGAGAAACCGAACTAATGGTCTTAAGTTCTCATGATGAAGAATTACTCATTAATCTGTAAAGAATACACTGAACTAATTAGGCTAATCTTCACAAAAGCTTTACCACCAATCTACACCTGTTTATTCTATACGAATACGTAATGAACTTTAACATAAATTCGGAACCATTTAAAAAGAATTTTGATGAATAATTAATGAAGTAATTAAAAAGACGGAGAGGTTGGTTATATTATTCATTGGTGTTTATTAATAAATGATAGTGAATTGAAACATGTAGCTATCGGATTAATAGATTATATAGTGTCCTCCTGTAGCCCATCTGGGGCTACTGCCGGTCCCAACTTGGATAAAGGAGTAGGTTTGGGCATGGGGTTAGCGATCTCATCCTGTAGACAACTAACTCGTTAAAAAAACGCTAACCAGTGAAAATAATTCAGACCATCTAAACTCTGCTCCGAGAGTTAGAAAGTTTTCATTTAAAAAGGGTTATGACATCTCATGATAAAAGCATAGTTCCTTCGGAAGTCATGAGGCTGATGCCCCTTCTAACAACTAGAAAAACTATTAATTTAGGTCCATAGAATGTATGTACGATGTGGGAGACTGGGAGAGTCATCCAGTTTGCTTCAGAAATGAGCAGCAATTGAATAGAACTGGAAAGGAATACTCAGAACAGAGTGGGTTGGAGAATGCTGGTTGGCGGGCTATGCTCCATTTTGCGGTAACAGACGCAAGTAAGTAAGGAAGTAAGTAAGAGAATTGATCAAATTTCGATAAGAATTCGAATACTTATTGGTGATTCTCATCTGCGTTCGCAAGGTTAAACTTACATTGATTGATCACGGAGTAATCATTAACTTTTTGTCTATCTAGTGTTTTCATGATGTTTGAATTGAACTGACTTGACATCGCATGGATTATGTTTTGATGTAAGGTAGCAACCGCTCAGTGACTAAACACTGTAAATAGGTGGTAAGCTGCTAATAGATTCACTCATTGACAAAGTCTCATACTATGAAGCTGTTACTCGGGTTACCATCTAACCGGATACAGTGGTTTGCTCAAGATCGTCGGGAAACCTTAATTCGAAGTGCAAGTTGGCAGAAGAAACAGGCCTGACAGAGTTTCGTGTTAACTACTTTGAACCATGTATAATCGAAGTAAGGACATCATTGGACATTTAGATTGGAACGGCATAGGTTATTGTTTTTAAATCCAGTCACTTACCGCAGTAATACTATTATGTTATTGAAAGATTATATTTTCACTCCCAAAATTTCTACTCACATTCAATAAGCATCAAGATGTACGGTATTTAAACAATCAATCTTAATTGCTATCATGCTGTATTTCTCTTTGGGTTACATATAGATGGACGTTAAGTGATTTTGATTCTTAATCGTCATTCGTGACATCGATAAGGTTAGATTTAATGAAATATACCATGTTCTCATAATAATTCACTGCTAAAACATCTCTTTTTCAAGATTCAAAGAAAACGTTTCGATTGATCAAGAAGGAGTGAATTTCACTACATCTGAAAAACTTGTTTCAATCATTCCTGAGTAAGTTTAATATCTTTAAGACAATTCTATTTGTTATAACCTATGTGCCTGAGTGCTCTGTTAATATATATGATGTGATGATACCGCCAATTGGAGAGCAATGATTTATTGATCGGATCAATGACACACGAAATCCGTACGAGCAGTCTAGAGTACTTGCCGGTCCTGCTATCTACCTAGCTCAGTCAGTCAAGTCCAAAACACCAATAACAGCCTCTGCAATATGAATCATTATTTTAAAACATACTAGGTTTGTATGCCGAACAGACAGACCACATCGTACCATAAAATAGAAAATAACATTTGTACAAGATTCAGCTAAATGTGGCTGTGAATAGGGGGAACAGTAATTAATGGACTAATGATAACTGAAGAATGATAAATCGTATAATAATAGTCTATAGGTCAAAATAAAGCTTATAATAGGAGGAACATGAATATGAATAGTAAAGTTACTTAACAATTATACAATAGGAAATATACATATCACATTGATCCATAAATAGTTCTCAAAAGTTAACATTTATAATTTGCTTTGCGATATAACACTGTTGAAGAGGGAACGTTAGATTGACGATCATTAAGGATTAAGGGGGATTAGATGGTTGTCTCTATCTGTGCATTTCATAATCTCACATCAAAGTGAATCCAGGATATTACTGAGCTAATGACTTCTAATGTCATTATTTATATTTGTGAGTTCAGCCAATTTATAACATATTCCAGTCTTTTTATTGAATATCATCTTGGAGTTACTTCATTTCACTTTCAAAATTGTTATCAACAACCAATAGGTATGAATTTTTTTATCTTGAATTCACTGATTGTTAAGTTATTGTTCCCATTTAGCCATACTGTAGTAAGTGAGTTCACAAATGGGGACAATCAAATGTATTTTAATCTAACATTACAGAACATAACATGGTGGTTGGAGATGGCGAACAGGAAACCCTAGACCCGGGTTTCGCGATCAATAGCATTTGATCAGCACTAAGAAGGACTTGACACGTATGACATTGATCATCACCCAGTGGTCAATCAATTATGATTACAGAAATTTGAAAACCATATAGTAAATTATTCATTTGCAAAATGTTCATTGATTATCTCAAACTTCATTGTTATTGCGTTTTCACAGCAATCATTCTCTCTTTTTTCTTCGATCTTCTTAATCTTCTGCCGCAATGATATTTCACTTTTGATTGATGATATATACTACTTATATCAATCGTCATCAGTAGCATACACCATAATACATGTTGTTTGGTTTATAATCACCATAATATTTAGGATACATTTCATTAAATCTTAAATGTTTTTATGATCAAAATCTTTCATTTTAAGATATCAAGTTACTTCTATACTTGATGAAGATTGGAATTCTACAACATTTCAATATCCATTCTCAACAAATTCTATGTAAGTGAGAATGTTTTAATCGATTAAACTACTTAGTTAATTCTGCTCGTCAGTCTTATGTTCTGTGAGTTGTTGTTGTTGTAGCATTTCATTTCTTGAATAATGTAATATTTAATTCTTTACCTCATTTTAATTGTAGAAGTGAGACTATAATCTATAGGCAACCTTAGGGTGACGCTAATGTGACCTTGAGAGTGTCTACCTACTTGGCTATCAGTGAAATCCAGGACGCGAGTCCCGTCCTATTTAGGACTTATCAGCTGGATATACCTGCACCTCAGAGTTGATGTTCACTCTGGGATTCGAACCCAGTACCTTTCGCTTCAAACTCTGTCGCGTTATCCACTCCGCTACTGAGTCCTGTCTACCTATTTACTAGGGTTAAATGAAGGTTATAAAGCAGTTTGAAGAATAAGAATTCTGATTTACAGTTGATAGTTAAGGTTAGTATTTAGATTTACGGTTTTTCATCAATAACTGATATTAGTTAAAATGCCTAGACGGTAATTGGCCAAACGGACGAGTGAATTTCGCGCCAAAATCCAAGATATGTTATCCGACATCTGATTGGTTCGTTCATAAATTATAGTATCGCCATTTTAGTGCAAGATTCTCAAATACAACACGGAGAACACCAAAATATACACACTTGATGGCGAAACCCTGGAAGAGATGGAAACATTCAAGTACCTGGAAGCATCATTGATAAACAAGGAGGATCGGATGCAGAGGTAAAGGCGAGGATTGGAAAAGCAAGGGCAGCATTTTTACAATTGAAGAACATATCGAACTCAAAACAACTCTTAACCAATTTCAAAGTGAGAATCTTTAATACGAACGTCAAGACAGTCCTACTGTACGGAGTTGAAACGTGGAGAACTACTAAGACCATCATCAGGAAGATACAAGTATTTGTAAACAGTTGTCTACGCAAAATATTCAACATTCATTGGCCGGATACTATCAGCAACGGCCTTCTGTGGGAGAGAACGAACGAGCTTTCAGCTGAAGAGGAAATTAGAAAAAGACTTTGGAAGTGGAGTGGACATACATTGAGGAAATCACCAATGTGCATCACGACTCAATCTCTAACTTGGAATCCGGAGGGGAAGCGGAAAAGAGGAAGGCCAAAGAACATATTACGTCGGGAAATAGAAGCGGATATGAAAAGGATGAATAGCAACTGGAAAGAACTGGAAAGGAAGTCTCAGGACAGAGTTGGATGGAGAATGCTGGTGAGCGGCCTATGCTTCTCGACGAGGGGTAACAGGCGTAAGTAAGTAAGTAAGTAAGTAAGTAAGTAAGTATGTAAGTAAGTAAGTAAGTATGTAAGTAAGTAAGTAAGTAAGTAAGTAAGTAAGTAAGTAAGTAAGTAAGTAATTAATTAAGTAAGTAATTTTAGTTCATTGGACTTTTGTCTGATTTGTTGATGAACACTGAATTCATACTAATTAAACATACACCGTTTTGGTGATACAGTTCTACTTCAGTAATTTTGAGTCAGTATCAATAAGCATTTTAAGTTTGAGAGTTTAGAAGATTGACCAGATAGATCGAATACCTTATCATTGTGTATTTGATTACTGGATAATAAGGATATTAATCGAACTATTTTACAAAGACATGTGTGATTAAGGCTCTATATCTTTTAGTATTAGTTAATAAGACATATGGAGATTCATCAGAAGTGACAACTTAACACAGTCTAAAGATGAAATCACATGTTTAACTTCTATTATACTATCGAAGTAGGCGTGGATGCTCACTCTTGAGGAGTCCCGTACTAGGACAAAACGATTATCTAATGATTGCAGGTTTTTCACGGTGGTATAGCTTTATTTGACTCATGAATTGAACTATTAGAATTACCTTTGTTTAGTTTACTTGAAATCAAATTGTATTAATTGTAGTACATTGATCGACAGTGAAGTGCTAAGTACTACTGTAGTGAACAGAACACCGGTTGGAGACAATCAAATGTATTTAGACATAAATTACAGACTATCATACTAAATTCTGATAACCATACAGTAAACAGTTAATTTGAAAAATAACAATCAATTGTCTCAATCTTCAGGCTGTTCTTTCTGTATATATCAATCCATTTTCTCTAATTTCATTGTTTATGTATTTTCCTACCAATTGCGCTTCATTTCGGTTCATTCCTTATCGGTCTTCTGCCAAATTACATTCTATGTCTGACCATCGCTATGTACTACTTATATGGATATAAGTAGACCACACTACACACTAGAATCAACTTATATTTCAAATTAACTCTGTTATGTGTAAATTATTTAGGAAAAATCTTGAATGAACAATAGATTCAGTATAGAATATGCCATTTTTCTTTTAGGCAAGAGATAAATATTATCAAAAATGATACATCGCCATTACAAATTCAAGATCAAAAAACCGAAGAACCCGTAAGTTTATATGAGTTTGAGTAACTGAATATTCATTGGTATTGTTATATCTAGAGCTTTGATTCTTACTATGCCGCGTACTACTAGACTACTTGAACGATAGAACCCGCAACGTCGCAAGAGAGAAGACAGAAGACTAGTAAGTAGGAACTTTTATTCCCCAAAACAGTGTCAAAATGTAGCACAGAAATCTGATGTATTTATAGTTTTTGACTGGGAGTAAATCATCATTTCAGACAACCAATAGGCACATAGGAGTCATTCTTATCCATCCAATGGGGAAGCTACACGTAGACATTTACTGTATGCGGTAGGCTACTTAATTATAAAAAAAGTAGTTTAAAATAAATTTCTTAATTTCTGTTGGTTCGTAATTTGTGGTTTCCTTTTACTGTAATAGCCAACTAATCTCATCCGTTTTTATCCATTTATTGATTGTTCTCTCTCCTGTTACTATGTCTAATTTTTAATAATACACATTCCCCTTAACCATTTTCTTATATTCTTTCGAGATTAATCTACTTTCAAGACGCAGGTTATTTTTGTTATTAATATTCCCACATGACATAATCTTATTCTGTTTACCTAATAATAATAATAATAATAATAATAATAATAATAATAATAATAATAATAATAATAATAATAATATGTCGGTAAATAAATAAACAAAGGTGATTCCTTGTAAGCAAAGATGGACAGTGGCTAGCAGTGGATTCCAGGACGCACAGTATGCACATATGCCGATTAGAGACTGACCAGTTAAAGTCCTAACAAATCGACGGGAAGATTCAAAAAATTAATACTAAATGAATTTAAAGGTGATTCCTGTTATTCTTTTTTTGATTAGTTCAGCTTGTTTCTGACGTGGTTTTGCTAATGCTGGTAAAACATAACACCCACAAAATTAAGTTTTATCAACAGTCTTTTTTTAACTCTTGTTCATAGTATTTTTATGGGTATTCCAGTCATTCAGCCGGTATCATCGTACTAATCCTACCAATATGTTGATGATAATTCTTCATGATTTCAACCATGAAAAATACTGAAATCTCCACAAAGCCACTTCTGATTGTAATCAAATGCCTACTAGTGACTAACTTCAAGATACATGTTCTGGATTTTTAGTGAGAAGTAGTGACTAGTGGAGTTCAACCACGTCTGTTATGAGATAACAACTCACTGAAGACCATTGGTGAACGATTACTCAGACTTTGTGGATCAGTTGAAGTTCGACATTAACACCGTTGGATGCCGACCAGCTCAGTGGTCTATCGGTTAAGTCCTCTGTCACGAGACTGGTAGGTCCTGGGTTCGAATCTCGCTTGTGAGTGCGGGATCGTGGATACGCACTGCTGAGGAGTCCCATAATAGGACGAGTTGGCCGTCCAGTGCTTCCTGGTTTTCCTTGATGGTCTAGTTTCAATTAACTCATGATTTCAACTATGAAAATTACTGAAATCTCCACAAAACCCCTGCTGATTGATGATAATTTTTAAGAATATTTCATGTTAAATTGTGTACTATTTACTTATTCATATCAAAACTACGTCAGAGGTATCACTGTAAAAACCAAAAAAGTTTATATAAATATAAAAGTTTACAGGTTGATTTGTGAGGCTTTATTTAGTATGAGAATAGTTTATATCACAAACTGTTAACTTCAGGAAACCTTACTATAAATTAAGAATTAATGAACAATTAATTTTGTTCCTCTTTGAGGAACTCTAAGAAAATTTCCGCTCACAATTTCAAACAACATTGAATTAGTTTAACATTAGCATAAGATCAGAAAGCCATAGAGTCGATTTCATTTTATGATCAAGGGTAAGTACTATCAAGTAATCTCTAATAGATGAGAAAAAACTATCATATTCAAGTTGATGTATCATCTTATCAAGCAGGATCATTTCAATCATATTTCTTGATAATGTGTTATTTTCATGTTTAATCTTTTTGTTCTCAGGAAACAGAAAGTGATGATATAGAAAACTTATTAGACCATTTAATAAATAAACTTAAAGTACCTTCAAATAATTGGCTTAATTATCATTATATTATGGCAATGGAAAGTCCTGATGGAAGTATATATATTCCAAAAAATCATAAACAAAGTACTCGGAAACATTTGATTACATTATTGGGGTATGTTAAATACAATTATTTGGGTGTGTTTTTTTTTTGAGTTATTTGTATTTATTTCAACACATGAATATTGGTACAAAGAAGCACCAGATATATATGCGCCACACAAATCTCATTTGAGTTGTGTCAGGGCTGTGATATTACCAAGGTGCCCAAACTGAAACAGGTGGTTTTCTTAAGGGGGTCACACCCGGAACCTTTGACCGAAAGATCTGATTCACAAGGCAGTGGAGCATCGTGAGATGATGCAGTCCCATGGTAGTTGGTGACCAATGATTGATTCATACGCCATTTGTTCCCTCAGGATACTGGAGCCCATGTATACCATTGGTTTGAAATGAGGGTTTTTCAACTCACCATGATGACGTTTCCGTGTACACCAGCCTGGTTCAAGCACCGGACATTCGCTTTTTGTCCTCTCAATTTTGTAAACAACAGTAATGTCACTGTGAGAAGGCAGTGAGTAGGACTTCCCTGACATAGACTATATACGCGTAGCCATATGACAGCATTTCGAGAAGGAGAGCGGACTCTAGCCACTCTTGGCCATACCAGAGCCTTTGGGGGCAAATCGCCTGCGTGCGTCGAAAGTAATTAATTTCCTCTGGACAATAATATGACAATCAGGTTACCAAGGACAAAATTTTTCACTTCTATAACATGGTTAAGGTTTTTCAAACTTTATGAGTCACTATTCAGAGGAATTTCATGTCACTCGATGCTTTAATGAATAATTGGCTATAAGCATTAGGGTATTTGATCGTTTGTATTTTGATATTGATTTCAAAAACCCTTTTATTAAGCTAAATTGTTTAAATGTACATCCTATGAAACATTTATTTTGTATGCTGATTATCCTTTCTGGATTTTAGTTACTTATCAGTTGATACTACTATTGTAGTGAACGAAAAGAAAAATGGGGACAATCGAATGTATTTGAACATAAAATTACAGAACATCTCAGTAAAATCTGAAATCCATGCAGTTAATAGTTCATTTGTTGAATATCAATCAATTAACTCAGACTTCACTGTTCTTTCATTTCCACAGCAATCATTACCTCTTCTCATTCTCTTTTTTCTTCGATCTTCTTAACTTTTTACCGCCTGACATTTCACTTACAATTGATGATACATACTACTTATATCTGATGACATCAGTAGCAAACACTACATTATATGATCAGTTTAAATTTTCATTTCAGTGCTGACTAGTGATATTTTTTGGTTTGCAAAATAAATCAAATAATTTATCAAAGTTTAATTAGTAACTATGGAATATCGAGAATTGAACTGAATTCTAAAAGGAAATGTACTTACTTACTTACTTACTTACTTACTTACGCCTGTTACCCCTCGTCGAGGAGCATAGACCGCTCACCAGCATTCTCCATCCAACTCTGTCCTGAGCCTTCCTTTCCAGTTCTTTCCAGTTGCTATTCATCCTTTTCACATCGGCTTCTATTTCCCGGTGTTCTTTGGCCTTCCTATTTTCCGCCTCCCTTCCGGATTCCAAGTTAGGGGTTGAGTCGTGATGCACATTGGTGATTTTCTTAATGTATGTCCGATCCACTTCCAACGTCTTTTCCTAATTTCCTCTTCATCTGGAAGCTGGTTTGTCCTCTCCCACAGAAGGCTGTTGCTGATAGTATCCGGCCAGTGGATGTTGAGTATTTTGCGTAGAAAACTGTTTATAAATACTTGTACCTTTCTGATGATGGCCGTAGTAGTTCTCCGTTTCAGCTCCATACAGTATAACTGACTGTCTTAACGTTCGTATTAAAGATTCTGACCTTGAAATTGGTTGAGAGTTATTTTGAGTTTCATATGTTCTTCGACTGTAAAAATGCTGCCCTTCTTTGCCGATCCTTTCCTTTACATCTGCATCCGATCCTCTTTGTTTATCAACGATGCTCCCCAGGTACTTGAATGTTTCTACCTCTTCCAGGGTTTCGCCATCAAGTGTGATTGTGTTGGTGTTCTCCGTGTTGCATTTGAGAATCTTGCTTTTTCCTTTGTGAATGTGGAGGCCTATCGATGCGGAGGAAATGTCATATACCTTAAATAAATCGAATAAACAATAATAACACAGAATATCTAGATGATTAGATGATATTCATTTTGAAGTATGCATTGATAATGTCAACACAAATTGATGGTTGATAATCGGAACAAGATCAATGTACTGATGTTTGGCGGTCTGCTTGAATATCTGGGCTACCTATTCCTGCCATATAGATATTTCAATAAGTTATCAAGTTTCTTTTGTTTATTTTATTGCATCATTATTGGTTGTTAATCACATAACCTATGCAGGTATGTCTCTGAAAAGTGTACAACAAAACGCTGTACAAGTTACAAAAGGTTCAATCAGAGATATAGTGGTTGATGGCAATATGCATTGAAAAGAATATATATTATTCACATGTCGTTTCCTGAACTGCTAACATCTAATTGGCGATCACTAAATGTTTATCGTTATGATCGACGAAGAATTAATAAATGGTAACTCCCTAAAGTACTTCATGCTGAGAATTCTACCAGTTAGATCTAAGGAGACTTCTAAAAGCCAAATGTACACCTCGGAAAATGTTCCATAATTAACTTCAAACACCTAATTAACATTGAACGTTTATTACTCACACTTTCCCTGAAGTCATATTTGTAGCAAAAAGATGTTCAACTAATTCAAAAGGATCCTCTATCATTACCATTCAATGCTATTTGTCTTCTTTCAATTGTTTTAAATTTGTAGATTTGCTGAAGAAATTGTTTCCAATAAAAGTATGTTTAATATATTACTAGTTAAATGACTTTCTTTAAACTAACTTTTACAGTTTACTTAGTATTGTTTGTTTGAATCTTCCCATTGATGTTCAGGACTGCAACTGGTTAGTCTGTATTTGGTATATGTGCATACCGTGTGTATTGCCTCGATATAGCCTTAATTCACAAGCATTATAAACAAAGATGGATATTGGCTAGCAGTAGAACCCAGAACGCGTGTTTCGTCCTATATGGGACTCGTCAGCTGGATGTACCTGCATCTCAGAGTTGATGTTCACTCTGGGACTCGAACCCAGTACCTTTCGCTTCAAACGCCATCGCGTTATCCACTCGGCTACTGAGTCCTGATAGCTACTTGCTTGTGCAATGGGTGAAGTTTAAATTCATTTAGTATTGTTTGTTTGAATCTTCCCATTGATGTTAGGACTGCAACTGGTCAGTCTCCAATCGGCATATGTGCATACTGTGTGTATTGCCTCGATATAACCTTAATTCACAAGCATTATAAGCAAACATGGATAGTGACTAGCAGTAGTATTGAATAATGTTAGGACAATTAACAATAAACCATACTGCACAATTGAAATTGTTATGTCATTAGCTTATACGATTATCGCGAAATGTACCATTGTCAATTTAGATACCCACACATCTGTATGAACAGTCTAAAATTCTTAACGGTCCTTCTTCCTACTTAGCCCTGCCTGTTAAGTTCAGAACACCGATCTCAGAGTCCTTAATACGAATCATATATTGTAAACATACTGGGTTTATATACAAGCCAAATAGACGACATCATACCATATATAAGAAATAGTAATTATACAAGATTAAGCCAAAAAATGGCTACGATTGTCAGAGACTGTAGTTAATAAATTGGGTATAACATAGGGATAGTAAATCGTATAATAATTGTCAACATGTTAAATAAAAGCTTATTATGAAGGGATTATGAATATACATATAATATAGTCACTTAATAGTCCTAACGGTTATCATTCACTTCTTGTCGTCCGGACATATAGAAACAACCTAATCGTCCAATGAAATTAGAACTTAGCAGTATTCAATATGTACCTATAAAAATTGTTGCTCTTGTTGTAAGAAGGTTGAACAACAACGACTGTCTTCAGGAGAACTTCTGTTATACTCCGGTCATGAAGAAGAAAATGCCCCACATACACAAGGAGTTGCAATGATGCTGTCAACCAACACCAAGGTTAGAATTTTCAATACAAATGTCAAGACAGTCCTACTGTATGGGGCGGAGACGTGGAGAACTACGAAAGCCATTATCCAGAAGATACAAGTGTTTATTAACAGCTGTCTATGCAAGATACTTCGGATCCGATGGCCAGACACTATCAGCAACAAGTTACTGTGGGAGACAACAAATCAGATTCCAGCGGAGGAAGAAATCAGGAGGAAGCGCTGGAAGTGGATTGGGCACACTTTGAGGAAATCACCCGATTGCGTCACAAGACAAGCCCTCACATTGAATCCTGAAGGTCAAAGGAGAAGAGGAAGAACAAAGAACACATTACGCCGAGAAATAGAGACAGACATGAGAAGAATGAACAAGAACTGGATAGAACTAGAAAAGAAGGCTCAAGACAGAGTGGGTTGGAGAATGCTGGTCGGCGGCCTATGCTCCATTGAGAGTAACAGGCGAAAGTAAGTAAGTAAGTATTCAATATGAGACTGTCAGTAGACCATTCAGGTCACCCACTGAGAAATACTTCTTGAAGAAAAGGCCTGCGTAAAGTTTCAAATAGCACTTTTTTTCTGATGAAGCATGTGAATTAATTACTATACTAAGCTGTTTAGTATAGTAACTATGCTACATAGTCAGAGCTCATGATATTGATCAATACCTAGAGATTGAATCCTTGAGTGATTGGATTTACTTAATATCGGATGTAAATGAATTAAATCTAACGTTTTATGGTAAGTTAGATATAGGGGACTGTGTCAAATGTAAGTTAACATGCTGCACAGCAATAATACAACCAATTATATGTCACAAAGATGATTCAGTCATATTCAAGGTAAATAGACAACAGTTTAGTTAAATTCACTTACTATTGTTTGTTTGAATCTTCCCATTGATGTTTAGGAATGCAATTGATCCGTCTCTAATTGACATATGTGCATACTGTGCGTATTACCTCGATATAGCCTTCATTCACAAGCATTTTAAGCAAAGATGAACAGTGTCTAGCAGTGAAGCGAAAGGTACTGGGTTCGAGTCCCAGAGTGAACATCAACTCTGAGATGCAGGTACATCCAGCTGACGAGTTTCAAATAGGACGAAATACACGTCAAACTGGATTTCACTGCTAGTCATTATCCATCTTTGCTCACAACAATTTAGTTAGTTCAGCATTCTGAAGCACTTTATACACATTTTATACAGTTTTACTTAAATCAAAAGAATTACACAACAAATTAAGAGATTTAAATTAAAAGAAGTTCATATTTTACAGAAGAAAACACAAGAAACCACTTGTTCAACTTTTACTTCCTCTAAATAGTCAAATTAGGTCATCTTCTCAGCATCAGTCGAGTGGCGAAGCCACTACAACGACGCCGATCCAACAACAACCACACTAAACCATTCAACCGGGAATCGATAATAACAAAGAAATTTCGATCACATTCACAATTAATTCACTAACTAGTGTCATAAAGTAGTTCTGGTTTACTGCGATGGAATCACTTCATCAGTTGGTGTTACTGAGGGATCTCAAACTGGAAGTGTACATCAGTCTATTGTTGTTTCAAAGCTTTGAATCGCTTTTAAACTGATGTCTAAGTCCTAAGGCTCCTGTCTTCAGCTTTTGACTGCATCAACTCACATGTGACTCAATGGTATATACTAATTACTGGAAATCATGTTATTAGCATCCAACATAGTAGTATAACTTTCTAAAGTGGAATATGAGACACGAGTTTCGTCCTATTTTGAACTCATCAGATGAGTACACCCTTATTCAAGAGTTGATGTTTATTTTTATTCAGAAAGTATTTCAGAATATCATAAGGGGTATCAGAAGAAGCAGTGACCAGTGGAGTTCAAACCACGTCTGTTGTGAGATAGGAACTCACTGAAGGCAATTGGTGAATGGTTGCTCAATTTCGTGGATCAGTTGAAGTTAGACATTAGCACCGTTGGATGCCGACCAGCTCAGTGGTCTATCGGTTAAATGCCCTGGCTCGAGACTGGTAGGTCCTGGGTTCGAATCTCGCTTGTGAGTGCGTGATCGTGGATGCGCACTGCTGAGAAGTCCCATAATAGGGTGGGTTGACCGTCCAGTGCTTCCTGGTTTTCCTTGGTGGTCTAGTTTCAATTGACTCACGCTTTCAACTATTTCAGAATATATCAAATTCTAATCCTAATCATCATCATATATGTTTAATATTGTTACTTTGTGTTTCATTATTAAGATGGTATTACATATGTAAACAACAAGAGTGAAGACAATCAATCAATCACTACACAATGGATAAATGATGATATTTTAGTGCTTGGACATAATCTATCAATCATTGGAGATAATCAATCTAACAATGATGATGGATACATCAACAAACTATGGAATACTAATGAGACATTCAATGAAAGGAACATTACTAATAATAACAACCATGAATTTTCAGATATTGATCATGAAACTGGAACATTTACTGAAATATTGGATCTTTCTTATTCAAATGTAACTGAACTAGATGGAAGAAGATTAACCGATCATGAATTACATGAATCAAATGAGTCAAATGATCTACATACTATTGTAGAAACTATAATCCTTGATGATATGGATCACAGAGTATCTGAACCAACTAATCAATCCTCTATACTGGACACTGAAGAAAACTTGTCAAATACACCAAATGAATTACAAGTAAACAGTAGCCAAGAGAATATAACAACTGATTCGATGGATACTGTTCATCAGCAACTTACAAAACTAATACACAATTAAACTATAGAAGTTTAGAAGACCGGGTAAACAAATATTGAGTGTGTTCTGTCATAGTAATCACTATGGTTCATTGATTTATAAACCCCGCTATTATTCATGATGCAATTTTCTCGAATATCATTAAGTCTAACTTTCTTTAAGCTTTTATACAATGTGTCTTGTTGTTATTTATTAGATACAACTTCTTGATCGCATCTCCTAACGATGCTCCACTGCCTTGTGAATCAGATCTTTAGGTCAAATGCTCCGGGTGTGACCCCCTTAACAAAATCACCTGCTTTGGTTTGAGCAACCGGTCAGTATCGCAGCCCCCACACAAATCAAATGAGATTTGTGTGGTGCATATGTATTCGCTACCCCTTGTTTATTGAATATTTGACTGAATATTGTAATGTATCATCAAACATGAAAGTTATCAGACATCAATTTTATCATCATTAGACACTAATCATCATCAACCAAAAGGTTTTCATTTCTTCGTAGTGAGCATATTACATTTCCAATTACTGAGATGATATTTTATATAGTTAAAATTATGAGTCAATTGAAGCTAGACCACCATAGGAAACCTGGAATCACTGGACGGCCGTTTCGTCCTATTGTGAGACTCCTCAGCAGTGCAAAATCCACGATTCTGCCTTGAGAGCCTATTGTATGTAGTTTTAATTAAATCTTATTCTACATAATCAAAGACTTATACAAATATATTTTCAACAATGTGACTTAGTGATATATAAATCACTTCAAAGTCAATGTGGTTATGACTGGATATTTTCTTAGTATACATAGAAGCTTCTGTCAAAAATTGAATGGTTTTATAACTAATTGAAGTATATTATAAGAATCGATGCTAGAATACATGGATTAAAAATTTACATAGCTTAACCTACTACATCATGAATTGATGTAAGTTAGACCACCATTTGAAACCTAGAAGCATTAGATAGCCGTTTTGTTCTACTGAGGACTCCTCTGAAGTGCATGCCCACAATCCTCCATGCAGAACTCAAACTCACAACCTTCAATCTCATTCACAAGTTCTTAGCTCAACGAATTGTCAGCTAACAGCGTTATTGTTCAACTTTAACTAAACTATGACATTGAGCAATCATCTTCTAATGTTTTTGGTGGATAATTACCCCATACCCGACATATTTGAATTCCAATGATGACAGATTCTCACTATAACTACGGAAATTTCCTCTTAAAGTTAGTCACTAGTGAGAACATGAAAGTTGTCAGTGAAGGGTTGTGGAGATAGTTGGAATTTATTATTATCAAAAATCGATCTAAGTTGAAGTATTTTCGCGTTCGCGCAAGAGACCAAAGCTTCTGGATTCAATTCTTGCTTGAAGGGCCATATATGCGCACCGTTGAGGAGTCCCATAGCAGAAGAAAATGACCGTTCTATGATTCTGGTAGTTCATGAAATTCAGCAATCTTCACAAAGCTTTAATGATGATCATTTTAACTTATAACTAACACTTTTTTGATCCATTTCCACGAATACTTTCTTCTAAAAGTTCTTAGTTCATAAAGTTTTAAAGGCAAACTATTTGAGTCATGTAGTTTTATCAGTTAACATATTCATGTTCAACGCCTTTCTGGTCATTTAAAGACTTGTAAAATTCACTTTAATATGCAGATTCTGTTTGTCAAAGGCTGATCTTATTATACTATTGAAACCAAGAAGTACTGGACAGTCAATAGTTAAGCTTTCTTTGTGAGATCTAAAAATTCTAGGTTCTATCTCTGGCAAGATTCTTTGTGCGAAATGCTAAAAATTAAAATAATGAGACGATAAGGATGTTCAGTATTTCCTGTTTGTCAGTGATACTTCAATTGAAATCATTCCATGACGAATACATTCTAAGAACATATTTGATCATTTCAAATAAATTAGCAATCAATCATGGAAGAGAAAGATCTAAACTTTCAAAATACATGAGTTTATTCAATGAAACTGATAGCAGATTTATTTATTGGAAAATACCGCCTAGAATGTTGAATGCTGTGTGTCTTGTTGTTACTTATTAGATACAACTTCTTGTTCTCAACGCAAACATGTACTTAGTTATTTATCTGTGCTAATAGTGTAGAGTAGTGACTTTGCTATACATATACTAGATTCTTTATAATATCGAAGTATTCAATCCAGGGTTAAGTTGAGTTTAGCTCTCTAACAGAAAAATATGATTTTAATAGTCGAGATTAAGACTCAGTTGAAGCTAGACCAACATGGGAAACCTGGAAGCACTGGACGGTCGTTTCGTTCTACTGTGGAACTCTTTAACAGTGCGCATCCACGATTCCGCCTTGCGAGCCTATTGTATGCAATTTGAATTAATGGATGTTTTGTCTTAATACATAGTGATACAATATCAATATGACTTGAAGTTTAAATGCAATTGATATGATGCTAAAGTCGTAGACAGTGAACAGGAATCTCCAAAATTAATATTTGGCTAATTAAAACTTACAAGAAAAGTGTATTCGCAATTTTGAGAGGTCTAGTGATTCTTGAAAGATTTCGAATCGTATCACCATTCCCCGAGTTACAGATGTGACTGATACTCTGTGAGATTCAGTTATTAACATTATTTGATTAAAGAACTCTGAATATAACATGATATAACAGATAAGTTTTATGTAGTTAAGATCGTGAATTAATTGGAACTAGACCACCATGGACAACCTGGAAGCACTGGACGGCCGTCCTGTCCTACTGTGGGACTCCTCAGCAGTGCGCATCCACGATCCCGCCTCGCGAGATTCGAATCCAGGACCTACCAGTCTCGCTCCGGAGCACTTAACCGATAGACCACTGAGCCGGTATCCGGCCGTGCTAATGTCTAACTTCAATCCACCCACGAAATTGCGTGACCAACTTCCATTCTACTGAGGTAGATACCTGTCTCTATTTGACTGGCAACGACTTCTCACTAGACCTTCAGGAATTACTTCATGGAGCCAGTCACTAGTGAGCATATAATAGATAAGTTTTGTTAATTTGAATCAGTTAACAAGAAACCTAGGTGTCACAGAGTTTTATAAAAGTTGTCTTTTATAACCCAACAAAAAATTTAATTTAGCTTTACTTATTTATTAATGTTAAATGTTAACGTATGATGTCGATTAAACACAGACCTGAACTTATCATCATATTCACAGTTAGATATGTGAATTCTTAATAGTTAAATTCATGAGTCAATCAAAGTGAGATCACCATTTAAAAAAAAACTTGAAAATACTACATGGCTGTTTCATCCCAATATAGGACTCATCAGCAATGTGCAACCATAATCTTACATGAAGGACTCGAACCTAGAACCTTTGGTCTAATGCACAAACACATAACCTCTAGACCACTAAGCTAGCATTCAATGGCTCAGTAGTTATTACAATCGGAATCCAGAATATTTTATGTTTATTTTTATTCTCATTCTATTTTATTCACTTTTTCAGATTTATAAAGTATCAATTCATTAATTTCCTACAACTAATATATGATAACATTAATTTATTATACAATAATATACTACTTATAATACTACTAATAGTACTACTTATACTACTATTATCCAATACTCATAATAGTTTCTTATTTAAAACCAAAATATTGAACATTGTTTAATTTGTTTATTGAATAATTATGATTATTTTTAAGTCTTAATTTACTACTGAAATAAATGTTGATTGTTAAATCTATGTAAACATGTTCTATTGAATGTCAATTGGTCTGTAAGAGCTTTTTCAATGAATGAATGAATGAATGAATGAATGAATGAATGAATATGGAACTAATTACTAGATTGATTTGAATATTCATGAAAATCATTGAAATTAAAGTTATATTGCGTAGATGTATCGTTCTTGTTTGAAAATCATAAACCTAGATGAAAGCATGAGTCAATTGAAGTTAGGAAAACCTGAAAGAACTGGACAGTCGTTTCATCCTATTATGGGACTCCTAAGCAGTGTGCATCCACGATTCCGCACTCGCGAGATTCCAACCCAGGACTCATATCGAATCTTTACAATATTGTACTCATCATTCTACACCACTTGACAAAGTTTTATTGTTCTAGACTAGTCATCTATCATTTATACAAAACATTAGAAGTAAATTTGTTATTTAAATCTGAATCGCTTGGTTGATGGGTGCCATGAAAGTTTCCAGGTTTTCTATGATGGTCTAGCTTCAATTGATTTATGAATTCAACTATAAAATCACTTAAATCTCCACAAAACGTATTTCCTGGAATTCTAGTCAGAAGCAGTGGCCAGTCGAGTTCAATCACGTCTGTCGTTAGATAGTAACTCATTGAAGACAATGGCGGATGGTTGCTCAATTTCGTGGATTGGTTGAAGTTCGGCATTAATACCGTTGGATGCCGGTTTCGTGGTTCTAGAGGTTAGGCGTTCACACGCGAGACTGATAGGTCCTGAGGTTCGGATATCGCGAGGCGGTATCGTGGATGCGCACTGCTGAAGAGTCCCATACTAAGACGAAACGGCAATTCAGTGCTTCCAGGTTTTCTATGTTGGTCTAGCTTCACTTGACTAATGTATTCAACTATAAAACTACTAAAATCTCCACAAAACCCCTTCTGATGAAAGTTTTCATCCATCCGTTATTTTCATTTTTTGAAGTGTCGCCTAATTAATTTCATCATTATGTTAAATAGTTTATTTATAAATATATCATTACATAATAAGAACGTAACTCCAGCTAATCATCACATAGAAAATTCCACGGAACTTTACAAGTAGGTTTAAAAATATTTTGTTAGTCTAGTAAATTTATAATAAATTGTATTACTATTATGACACCGGAGTTTTCGATGGAGATTCATCCTCTGAGTTGAATGATTTTAGTTGTGAAGCTTTCATCTTTCTTCTGAACGAAATCATCAGCACAAACGTCGGGTAGAAGTGAAGTGTCCACATGTGGTTCACAGCTTGTCCTGTAGATCTCAATGTTGATTGGTCCTTGTTGACCTTTAATTTCTCATTGTTTACTTCTTTATTTTGGTTGTATCTCCCATTGGTTTGATTTTTGATCCTATATTTGTCCATAATTTTCCTGATTGGATTTTTTGAAGGAAACTTCCTTCACTTTCTTCTTCTGATGTTTTTCTTTTTCAATACAGCTAATAGGCAATATCGTGTTGTCACTCCTTGAGGTAACTCAACTTACCCACATAGTTTGATAGTTCATTTGACTTCTAAACAGGAAGTCACAAAAATATATTATCATTTCATATTATCATTTCTATGTGCAGACTTAGTTTATCATGACTACTAATTAGTGAGAAGCCATGTACAGTGAAACGAATCCAATGGAAGATGGTCGCGCAATCCTGTGGATTGATTGAAATTAGACATTAACACCGTTGGATGCCGACTCAGTTGTCTAGTGGTTAAGCGTTTGCGATACATGGAGGACAGCTAATAGACTCATTCCAAGTAAGGATCGGTGTCAGACAAGGCTGCTTACTCTCAATCTTTCACTTCCTTCTGGTGGTTAAATTGATTATAAAAACCTCGACATGTGGGAGAAAGAACGGAATACAACGGACAACTTCGATGCAACTAGACGATTTGGACTTCGCAGATAACTCAGTCTTTCTATCCCATACACACCAACAAATGAAGGTTAAGACATCCACTGTAGCAGAAGCCTCTGCATCGACGGGCATCGAAATATACAGAGGGAATAAGTAAGATCCTCAAATACAACACGGAAAACACCAACAAAGTCACACTTCATGATGTAGTTTTGGAAGAGGTAGAGTCTTTCACTTACCTCAGAAGCATCATCAATGAACGAGAAGGGTCTGATGCAGATGTTAGAGCAAGGATTGCCAAAACAAGAGAAGCATTCACGCACCTAATGATCATTTGAAACTCAAAACAACTGTCAACCAATATCAAAGTCACAATCTTCAATACGAATGTCAAAACAATTCTACTGTATGGAACTAAAACTTGGACAACTATCACAATCATCATCGAAAATGTACAAGTATTTATAAACAATCGTCTACACAAGATACTGAATGTCCGTTGTCCAGATTTCATCAACAACAGTCTACTGTGTCACAAAACAAACTAGCTCCCAACCGAAGAGAAAATTAGAAAAGACGTTAGAAGTGGATAGGACATAAATTACGGAAATAATCAAACTGCGTCACAAGACAAGGGCTAACTTGGAATTTCGAAGAGAAACGGAAAAGAGAAAAGCTGAAGATCACAGTGAGTTGAGAATCGGAAGCAGACATCAAAATGACGAACAACAATTGGAAACAGCTATAAATGATCGTCCAGGGCACAGCTGAATGGAGAATATTGGTTAGAAACCTATCCTCTTCCACGAGAAGTAACATGTGTAATTATATACGTTGTTCTACAGACTCTTTTAAGATGTTGATATAAATGGATTATATATAAAATTTCAAATCAACTTATTCCTTCATATCTACTGGAACCTACCAATCAAGTTTAAATGAATATCCATCTTCATTAAAATGGATTAAATCTTACCATCAATAAAAATAAATAACTGTCAAATACTACCAAGAATTGACTAATATTTGAAATATGAAAAATTCAATATTAACTCACTAATTACAAAGTTAAGCACTCCTTCTAATGATCTTAGTTTTATCTCCATGTAATGGTCATTGATGTAAACTGTTGAGGAACAGGTTGTATACTAACACCATACATTTTTTGCTTGGCTGAAAACAAGCTTAAGGTTTGAAATATACTCACATTACTACTACTAATAATAATAATAAACTTTATTCAATATCATAGTTTTGGTACAATATAGAATCCTCAGCATCAAGTATTTCAGTGAGTTACCATTTCTTACTTCTTGGTTGATCCTGATGATAAATATTGACTGGTCGCCAGTTAGATGTCAGCAGTTCAGGAAACGATATGAGAATAATATGTATTCTTTTCAATGCATATTGCCACCAATCACGATATCTCTGAAAGTAATTTTCCCTAACTTGTACAGAAAAGCGTTGTACACTTTTCCTAGACGCAAGTGAATATATTATGCGATTAAGAATCAATAATGATGTAATAAAACAAACAAAAGAAACCCGATAACTTGGTAAAATTTCTAGATGACAAGAATAGATAGCCCAGATATTCAAGCTGACCGCCTGGGTATAATTCTTTTTAAAAATAATTTCTTTTTCTTGGAACTTTAAAGAAAAAGCATCTATTACTTATTATTATTATCATTAGTAGTAGTAGTAGTAATAGTAGTAGTAGTAGTAATAGTAGTAGTAGTAGTAGTAGTAATAGTAGTAGTAGTAGTAATAGTAGTAGTAGTAGTAGTAGTAGTAGTAGTAATAGTAGTAGTAGTAGTAATAGTAGTAGTAGTAATAGTAGTAGTAGTAATAGTAGTAGTAGTAGTAGTAGTAGTAGTAGTAGTAGTAGTAGTAGTAATAGTAGTAGTAGTAGTAGTAGTAATAGTAGTAGTAGTAGTAGTAGTAGTAGTAGTAGTAGTAATAGTAGTAGTAGTAGTAGTAGTAGTAATAGTAGTAGTAGTAATAGTAGTAGTAGTAGTAGTAGTAATAGTAGTAGTAGTAGTAGTAGTAGTAGTAATAGTAGTAGTAGTAGTAGTAGTAGTAATAGTAGTAGTAGTAATAGTAGTAGTAGTAGTAGTAGTAGTAGTAGTAGTAATAGTAGTAGTAGTAGTAATAGTAGTAGTAGTAGTAGTAGTAGTAGTAGTAGTAGTAGTAGTAGTAGTAGTAGTAGTAATAGTAGTAGTAGTAGTAGTAGTAGTAGTAGTAATAGTAGTAGTAGTAGTAGTAGTAGTAGTAGTAGTAATAGTAGTAGTAGTAATAGTAGTAGTAGTAGTAATAGTAGTAGTAGTAGTAATAGTAGTAGTAGTAGTAATAGTAGTAGTAGTAGTAGTAGTAGTAGTAGTAATAGTAGTAGTAGTAGTAGTAGTAATAGTAGTAGTAGTAGTAGTAGTAGTAGTAGTAGTAGTAATAGTAGTAGTAGTAGTAATAGTAGTAGTAGTAGTAGTAGTAGTAGTAGTAATAGTAGTAGTAGTAGTAGTAGTAGTAATAGTAGTAGTAGTAATAGTAGTAGTAGTAGTAGTAGTTCCATTGATAGGTTATAATTTCAAGCTGTGAATAATATAAACTGATTAATTGAAATTCATAAAAAAAAGGACATTTGATGTAATTCTCCAATTTTAATGAATAGAATATGAAATTTATTGTTGACCACAATATATAGAAAAGACCACAATCCCTACCTCATTCAAGGTCTAAAAAGTTAAAAAAAAATTATGAAAATTTTGCTAATGTCATAAGAATGATCTTGGTGATCACTAGTGACTGACTTCAAGAGATATTTCCTTGAGTTCTAGTGTGAAGCAGTGACCAGTGGAGTTCTACCGAGTCTGTTTTAGAGATATCAACTCACTGAAGACAATTGGTGAACAGTTTCTCAAAATCGTGGATTGGTTGAAGTTAGACATTAACACCGTTGGATGCCAGCTCAGTGGTCTGTCGGTTAAGTGCTTTGGAGTGAAACTGATAGGTCCTGGGTTCGAATCTCGCTAGTGCGTGATTGTGGATGCGCACTGCTGAGGAGTCCAGTGCTTTCAGGTTTTCCATGGTGGTCTAGTTTCAATTGACTCATGATTTCAACTATGAAAAAAGATCTTGTAATTGTATTCCAACACTAGATAATGGGTTTTTGGGCTTACTTTAAACTCTAACGCTTCAGCGTGGTCTATTTCATTGACTACCCTATATGTGTTGTATGTAGTATAAGCTATAAGCTATATAGCTATGTAGAGCTGAAAGTTTCATATGAGACT